CAAAGCCCAGTCAGCTAGCCCTTTAGTTACTTAGTCCTCCATTTCCATCACTCCTTCAGTACACCGCTCTAAATTATTAGGGAGGAGCAGCTCACCTCAATCTGATCAATTTTGACTTGCTTGTAAGCTTTCTTCATTTCTTTCACTCCCAGTTTCATTGCATCAACCTAGAATAGAATGAAACATGTTTGTATCTAATGTTTGTATCTACACAAGTTACAAAAAAAAAAGAAAGTAGAGATGAATACTGCACCGTTGTCTTTGTATCCTTGAGGGCCTGAATAGTATAATTAGCTTGTTCCATATTAAAAGACTGTTGTGATAGATTATCTCTCTGTTGTTCATACCTGTGAAAAACAATGGAAATAATGTCTTAAAAACATCACTACACAAACCATAAACACACAATTTACTTAAAAAAAAATTCAATCCAGTTCATCATGGAAGTACTTGTATTGTCTACATAATGACAGTCTCCTTTATAAGAGGTTCATCAGAACATCTAAAATTCAAGTGTGAAGAGCATGAACTAAATACAAACAGTAATACACACCTGGCTCTAAACATCATTCACTCAATAATTTTGAGATAACTCAAATGGAAGCGATTATCTATTCACTGCAATATAACTTTTTATTTAGTCCCCAGACACTTACATGGAAAGCTGCAAATGCAACAGTTTTTCAGGGGAAATCTGGATAAAGCAAGACGACAACAGTGTCCATCAAATTAGAATATAGAAAAAAAATGGGATAATGTGATCTTCTGGAAGTCACAGAGCTTCTGTAAAGGGTAATTTCACTGCTTTAGTAGAGTTCTTTAAGGAGGCAGTGAGTGTGCGGATGAAGGTGACCCAGCTGACACCACAGGCTGTTTCTGCGTATCCAGATGTTGGCTGACAAGGCCCCTCAACAAAGAAACAGTCCAGCAAGAAACTAAGTATACGCTGCGTAAGAGGGAAAGCCCTCACAAGGAAGAGCAAAAAGATAAATAATTCTATGAAAAAAGTCACATTAATGTTCAGCAGTATTCAGAACAAGCAAAAAGCAAAACTGTGAGTAGTTGAGAAAGGGGAGAAAAAAAAAAAAGGACTCATGCTATTGGCAAGGCACACCTGCATTTCGAATACAGCATGAAATTTTGGGTGCTTTATCTCAAAAAGAATGCAGCAGAACTGGAAAAGCTTCAGAGCAGGATGACAAGGATGATTCAAACACAGAGCAGCTTCCGGACACGGAATGACTAAGCACGCCAAGGTTCAACAACTGTGAGAGAGACGACAGAGGGATATGATGCGGCCTCTTATGAAGGGCCCAGCAACACAAAAGGGAAAATAACTTCTCAGTCTTCCAATACACGCACACTCAGGAGACATCAAATGAGAATAGCAGATGGCAGAGTCAAAACCAAAAAGGAGGCAGTTGTCCTCAACACATTAATTAAACTACCATGTTCCTTGCCATAGTGATTTAAAAAGTAATTGAGCAATTCTGTATAGAAGAAATGAAGTACATTCTTTATAATAATCAAAGATATAAAATGACAGGTTTTGTCCTGTAGAGCAAATGCAGGAGCCAAATACAGCTTTAGTGATTAGCAGATTTAAGTATTTAGTGATTAGCAGACTTAGAGTAAGCTTTTCTCAATCCAAACGTATACGCTCACATACAAAGAGGCGCAGATATTGCTGACAAAAACTGTGCTCATAGCTGCTCCTTAAARGCTGATTAAGCTAGTTCAGCTATTTTCTTGCAAGAATGCTGAGAAGAAACAGTAATGAAAAGATAAATGCCACTTTCCTCAAACAAAACAGCTTTTGATTAACTCAGGATTGAGAAAGGTGTAAACTTACATTCGCTTCTGCTTTAATACTCTCAAAGCTTTCTGCTTTACTGTGTTCTGAAAAAGATGAAACGTAAAAAAAAATTAGGAAAAAAGTGCTTTTACTCTGATTTATACTGTTTGAACGTTATGTATAGCATTTATGTTTTCCAAAACAGTCTTCAGTTAATCATGCAAAGATCTTAACAG